AAAAAAAAAATCCCCAAAATTTAATGTTGAAATTACTATGTCCTAGAGCATAGTAATGCTTACATAGTAAATAATATATGGTTATGTCTTAGATATTTTTCAAATCCATTTTGATGTATAGGTTTATATTTGCATATGTTTATATATAAGGACAACAGTTATGAAAAATGATTTTGCAATTTTTTTCAATTTACTGTATATGGACAAAGTTTTCTATGTAATGTAGAGAGATATCATTCTTTTTTAATAGCCACCTCACTTCATTTTACCAATAATGGAGTAATTATTTTAAGCCAGTTTTTGAGGATTACTCTTTGATTATCTACTTATGTCTATCTCTTTCATGTTAATTATGGCAAGAAAATGGGAAGGGAGATTTTTTAACCCAAGCCATAACATTCAGAGGTATGGCAGCATACTCCTTTAATCCCAGCAGAGGCAGCAGGATCTCTGAGTTCAAGGCCAGCCTGGTCTACATAATGCGGCCCTGTCTCAAAAACAAAACACAAACTGTAACATCAGTGACCAGCTTGTCGCCATGCAGTAGTAAGATCTGGCGATGCTCTTGTCCTGCAGGTGTGGCACCTCTCAGAAGAGAAGCAAATCAACGTATGCTCCCAGCTGGATTGGAAACGTGCACTCGCTGTCCATCTCTGGTATTTCCTCCCACCAACAGCCTCCATCTCCAGGGCTCTCAGCATGTATGAAGACGCCTTTCAGGTGAGTGTGTATTCAGCAGAGCCAGGTGAGAACCCTGGTGGTGTTTCGTCTTCCAGAGAAGGCCTGCAAACATGGTGGGCACGCCTTTAATCCCAGCACTTGGGAGACAGAGACAGGTGGCCTACAGAGAAAAAGCCATCAAACTTACTTTATAATACAGTACTTATTGCTGACTGCCCTCTTTGAAAGTACAGACGTAACAAATTCAAAACTTCATACTTGACTTGCCTCTAGACATGGCTCCTCTTCAGCTTTTCCAGCCACTTGCTCTGTGGTGGGTGTATTTGTTTATTTTTTTTTCTTTTGATGTTTTAAAAGTTTAGAAGTATTACAGCATCCTTAATACAGGTAATGAATAATTGACACATGATAATACTGATTGGGGAAAAAAAATGTCATATTGGTCTTTTCAAATTTTTCTTTTCAGAATACTTGTGAGGGTGATAAATATGCCTGTTCCCCTCTTCCTTCATACCTGGAGGGTTTTGGCTGTATGGTAGAAGAAGAAAAAGACTCCCAGAGACCACTTCAGGATGTTTGCTTTCATCTCCTAAAACTCTACAGTGACAGGTCAGTCTCTCCACTCTACATATGAGTGAGTGTACAGTTGGACAGGAATTACCACAGCAAGCTGTCAGCACAGTGACCTAATGTGATTTAGGAAATTGGGGAAGTATCGTTGCTATAAATTAATTTTGTTGTTGCTGGATTTTACATAATTGAAATCATTATGTACTCTTTTGTGCCTGGCTTCTTTTCACTCAGCGTTATGGTAGGATTTTTAACCAAGTTAATACAAACAGCAGAAGTCAGTTTGGGGTGGATTCTTTATTTTGGCTCTGCATATTTTTGCATAATTTGCATATTGGTGGGTAGTTAGATATTGTTGGTATGGCTATTAGGGATAACTTATGCTCCTGTGAATATTTACAAAACTGGCTGTATGAAGCCATGTCTTTGGCACAGCTACTTGGGAGACAGGTGTGAGAGGTTCAGTGGAGTCCACAAATACCCAACTTTTTAAAAAAGTGATTGTTATTTTACATTCTCACTAGTAATGTATAAAATTTCTAATTGCTTTATGCCCTCTGTGTAGCCCTGCCTGTCCTGAAACTTGCTGGACCTCAAACTCACAGAGATCCCCCTCTCTCTGCCTACCACAGGCTAGGTTTAAAGATGTGTGCCACCACTGCCTACCAATTTCATTTGTTCCAGTAGGTTAGAAGTATTAAGCTAAATTTTGGTTGTTCCAATAGGTTAGAAGTACTGGGAAGGCAGAGGCAGGCAGATCTGAATTTGAGGCCACCCTGGTCTACAGAGCAAGTTCCAGGACAGTCAGGGGTACACAGAGAAACCCTGTCTCAAAAAAGAGAAAGAAAAAAAATGACAGATACTATAATAAAGGATAGAAGGAATGGAAATTGTAAATGTCCCGTACATTGGGATGGTCAAAGGCATAGGTCAAACCAGTACCAATAAACCTATTTATTGGATGGTACGCCCTCATAAGAGATGTATGGCTGGTATTTCTGTGTAGGGGCTACTGATAAAGCCTCTAACACTTTGCCCTCCTTATCATCTTCTGAGACACAGAACAGTTAAGCTGTTCAATACAGATGATCTGCTAGCTGAGTGTCCTAACTGAATACTTTCTTCTCAGACACTATGACCTGAACCAGCTGTTGGAACCCCGAAGCATAACTGCAGATCCCTTGGACTACCGCCTAAGCTGGCACCTTTGGGGAGTGCTTCGTGCCCTTAACTACACCCATCTCTCAGAACAGTGTGCAGGTGTGCTACAAGCCAGTTATGCTGGCCAGCTGGAAAGTGAAGGACTCTGGGAGTGGGCTGTCTTTGTCTTCCTGCACATTGACAACTCCGGGTGAGTGAAAAGCCATTGAACTCACTGAGTATATCCAGTACCTCAGGGAAATACCTAAGGATTCCTTTTCAGATTCAGTTCAGTAAGTGATTTTCAACCTGTAGATCATGACCCTTTTAGGAATCAAAGGACCCTTTCATAGGGTCACCCAAGACTATTGGAAAACACAGATATTTACATTACAATTCATAACAGTAGCAAAATAATAGTTTAGGGGGCTTACACAACATGAGGAACTGTGTTAAAGGGTCGCAGCGTTAGTATGGTTGAGGACCACTGGCGTAGAACATCTGTTAGATACATGTGATAAATGTGATAAATCTCAAGATCCAAGGGCCTGGAGCCTCAGCAGTTGAGAGTACTTCTCCTTTTCCATAGGATTTGAGTTCGAGTCTCCGCACCTCTGTTGGGCAGTTCACAGCTGTTTACAGTAACTCCAGCTTTGACACCTCTGACCTCCAAAAGCGCTACATTTATGTGTAAATACACACCAGCACACATACATACACATATTTTGAGATAATTTAAAATACTGACTTTGGTTTGTTTTGTTTCAAGTTTGAAGTAGTCCTCCAACGATGGAGATTGTCCATTTGAGTGACTGCCCAAGGGACCTCTCGTAGCCATCCATCCATTGTAGCCTTCTCCATGACCAGTGATGATGCTTACTCAAGCTTCTGTATTCCCATAGCATGCGGGAGAAGGCTGTTCGAGAGCTGCTGACAAGGCACTGCCAGCTGTCGGAGACCCCTGAGTCTTGGGCTAAGGAGGCTTTCCTTACGCAGAAGCTTTGTGTGCCTGCTGAGTGGATTCATGAGGCCAAAGCAGTTAGAGCACACATGGAGTCCAATAAGCACTTGGAGGCCCTCTACTTGTTTAAAGCTGGTCACTGGAACCGCTGCCACAGACTCCTCATCCGGCACCTAGCTTCTGGTGAGTGCAAACCTACAGCTCTTAGAATTCTCTCTTGTCTTTCTAACCGTGGTGGTTCAAGCAGAGGTGATGTTCCGTTCAGGACATGGCAAGGCATAGTTCAGATGCTGCAGAGAAGGCCTGGTCTAGGTGAGGGTCTGCGAGGCAGGGAAAGATGGCATTGCTATAGTTACTGTCTTAGTGCACCAAAAAGTGCACCAAGCTCTGCATACTTGTGGAAATGTTAACCAGCGCTCCAGAAACAGCTGCTCAGCAGCCTGAAGCCAGAAGGTCCTCACATGTGCCCTTACTTTCACAACATTCTTTCTCTTTCCTGCCTGGCCTTAGATTTATGCCTGGTCCTGTACACTGTTGAGACTCACACCCTTGTACACTGAAGTCAATGTTTTGTTTCTTCAGATGCCATTATTAATGAGAACTATGACTACCTGAAAGGATTCTTGGAAGATCTGGCACCTCCGGAGCGCAGCAGCCTGATTCAGGACTGGGAAACATCTGGGCTTGTTTACCTGGATTATATCCGGGTAATTGAAATGCTCCACCACATTCAACAGGTACCCAAATTCCTCACACCACTGTCTAATTTCCCTTTTCTTGGGCACTTAAAACCGGAGACTTCAAAAAGCTATACCGCAGTTGGTTGTGGGTACATGACTTTAACCCCAGCACATGGGGGTCAGAGGCAGGTGGATTCTGAGTTCTGTGACAGCCAGGCTTGGTAGAGAGCCCTTTACAAAAAAAGCCAAGGTGGCACATAATTACATTCTGAGCACTGGGGAAGCAGGGCAAAAGAATCAGGAGTTTGAGGCCGGTTGAGGCTGTGTGAAACTTAATAACCATTGGAGATGGGACTTTGGGGTTTTAGCTAGTTTTACCCTATAACATAGGCCAGCCACTAACACTAGGATGTTAGTGTTATAGCCTAGGATGGCCCTTTTTTAGTATTATTTTAGTATAATTTGAGAGTGGGGTCACAGGTGTGGAAGTCCAAAAGACAAGTTGTGGAAGTGGGTTCTCTGCTGGGAATCCAACTCAGGTCATCAGGCCTGTCAGCGAACACCTTTACCTGATGAACCATTTCACTGGCTAGCTCTACTTTTCTCCGCAGTTCAGAGCTCAAGCTATTAGGTGTCCCGCATTGACTAAGTTAATAGCCTCTCCATTTTCCCGGAGGGAGTGGACAGTGACATTGACTGTAGTATGTATCTGACAGGGTTTTCATGAAGATTACACAAAATAGAGACCAGGGCTTGGGCACAGTACCTTACACAACAGTTCCTATCTTCATCCATTTCTAATTTATAGCCTAAATCCAAAGTCATTGAAGAAACCTTGTAGTTGAAATGAGTTTATTTTTACAGAGTGCTGTGAATTTGGGAGCTAACGGTATGGTTTTGGTTTTAACCTGCCGGTTCAAGTGCCAGGATCAAAGGTGTGCCTGCCTCCCACACCACCACCACCACCACCACTACCCTGATTGAGGCAGAAGTTTCTTTTGTCCTTACTGGCTTTTCTGTTTCTGTGTAGGTGGAATGCTCAGGTTATGAACTAGAGCACTTACATACCAAAGTGACTTCACTGTGCAACCGGATAGAGCAGATTCCGTGTTACAATGCCAAGGATCGCCTGGCTCAGTCAGGTAAGCGTGTAAGCGTGTGCGCTCTCCTGGCTCATGGCTTACTTCCTGTCTTCATGGCTGTTACACTGCACAGCAGTCCCTGGTGCCCGCCCTCACTCTGATTTTTCTCTCTAGATATGGCCAAGCGTGTAGCCAACTTGCTTCGAGTAGTGCTGAGCCTTCAGCATGCCCCTGATGCCGCCTCCAACTCGACGCCAGACCCTCAGCGAGTTCCTTTGCGTCTCTTGGCTCCCCACATTGGCAGGCTTCCCATGCCTGAGGACTATGCCTTGGAGGAACTGCGTGGCCTCACACAGTCCTACCTTCGAGAATTGACTGTTGGGAGCCAGTGAGCCTGGCTCTTGTCACCACACTCACGCCCGTTCACACTCACCACACAGCAGTCCCCAGCACTGTTGGCATTGACACTTTGCCCGTCTCTGGGCTGACTGTGGAGTCCTCCGTCCCTTTCTGCTGCCCCAAGCAGCATCCTCTACTTGGTCAGGGCTTTTCCTAACCCTGAACATAGCCTGTGATAGTGCACAAGGGCTTCTAGAACCAAAAAAAAAAAAAAAAAAAAAATCACCATTTGCCAACCTCAAGACCATTCAATTTCTTTTTCTTTTGAAAAATGGTCAATAAAACGTCTTTGGCAGAACCTCACAAAAAACAGGGAACTCTTTCCTACAACCAGAGTTCTGAATCTTGTGTGTAACACACACACACTCCCATGCCAACTTCTAACCTCCACCACTTTCAGCCCTTTTGTACCATTATTGTCTGAGGCAGGTAAGACATACCTGATAAGTGACTGGCTGCCCTTCCCTAACAGATTTGTCCCCATGAGGAGCAGTGGTTCGGGGAGTCAGCGAGCGTGCGACCTTACTCTTCGACATGTCTGAGATAGAAGGCTGTCTGCCATAGAGGCAGAGATCTTCAAGGCTCTTGTGTCCTCACCTTGCATATCCCGTGGATGTCCCACTACCATGTGCAGATGAGGTCTCTGCCCTTGATAATCAGTCCTCCTCCTGCATTTGCCAGAGGACTTTGGGGGTTTCTCCCTGCCCTCCCATCTAGCCAAGAACATCTCCACCATTCATCCACCCTCCCAGAAGCTAAAACTGTCCCTGGGGCAGGTAGAAAAGGCCTTCACCACATTGCCGCCAGCTGTGGGAAGTCCCAGGCACTGGCCTGAGACAGCTGATATTTGGGGCTGTCACAGACAATATGGCCACTGCTGGGTCTTTATGCATGAAGATTATGTAAAGGTTTTTATTAAAAAAAAAAAAAAGTATATATATATATATAAATGATCTAGATTATTTTCCTCTTTCTGAAGTACTTTCTTAAAAAAATAAAATGAAATGTTTATAGTACTGGTGGTATTGGCTTTCTCTTTGTCTACATCATTAGTTAAAGAGAGAACAAGTGGGGTGGGGCTGGAGAGCTGACCCAGGTTAAGAGCACTGGCTATTCTCACCAACCCCATAGTGGCTCACAACCCTCTATCATGAGATCTGGTGCCCACTTCTGGCATGCAGGTGTACATGCAGACAACATTGTATACATGATAAGTCTTTTAAAAGAGAGAGAGAACAAGGGGCCTGGAAAGATGGCTCAGTGGTTAAGAGTACTGTCTGCTCTTCCAAAGGACCCGGGTTCAATTCCCAGCACCCACATGGCAGCTCACAACTGTCTGTACTGCCAATTCCAAGGGATCTGACACCTTCATAAATAAGATCAAATTATTTTTTTAAAAAAGAACGAGGTTCTGAGAAGTTAGTTCAGCATTAACCACACAAGCCTGACAATTCAGAATCCTCAGAAAAAGCCAGATGTGAGCCAGGTATGGTGGCACATGCCTGTGATCCCAACACTCATGCAGAAGCAGGCAGATCTCTTGAGTTCCAAGCCAGGCTGGTCTACAGAGAATCCAGGGACAGCTAAAGCTCCGTAGAGAAACCCCAGTCTCAAAATAAAAAAAGAACATGTAGCACCCATTTGTAATCTCATTTGTAATCTTTTTAAAGGATTTTATTTTTATGTGTTCAAATGTTTGGCCTGCATTTGAGTGTACTCTGTGCCTGGCAGCACACTTTAGTTTTATTCTTTGAGAACTTACATGCTACAATGTATTTTAAGCAGATCCATCACTACCACTCTCAAGTCCCATCATTCTTGGGTTTTTTGTTTTGTCTTTGCCCTAATGTATTAATGTCTTACGCATTTATGTGGTTTGCCTGCATGTATGTCTGTCTACCACTGTGTGCCTAGTGCCTGTGGAGGCCAAAAGAGGACATCCACTCCTCGGACTGAAATCAGGAACAGGCGTGCGCCACTGTTTTGGTGGGAATCGAGGAACAGCCAGTGTTGTTAAGCACTGAGCCACTTTTCCAGCCCCATTTTCTCAGAGCTCTAATCGGGAAGGTAGGAGGTGGAGACAGGAGCATCACTGTGGAAACTGACCTGCCATCTAGCCTGGAGAAGGAAGCGCCACAGCAGGAACTAGAGACTGTCTTGAGGAGGAAGACGAGCCAGTTGCCAAAAGTGGTCACAACCTCAGGCACACATGACGCTCACAAATCAACACTGGACAGTTGCGTGCTAAGCTGAGATTCAGAGGCGCACAAACTTTCTTTTCCTAGCAGTGCTGGGAATTAAACTCAGGGTCTTTGCGTGCTAGGCAAGATCCCTACAGTTGAGCTAGATCTCAGCCCGAAGGCTAAGTTTGTAAGGGCAGATTTAGGGACAAAGTTATTGACTAATAACTGCTACACACAGATTTGTGCTCACATTCTGAGTTCAAATTGTTCTGCTCGGTTCCGCGGGTTTTTAAGCCGAGAGTCCCTCTTTCCTAAGGGTAGTAATGATTACTGAAGTGGCTGTTTCACATGAGCCTGTTTTGAGGATTGAATGAGAACACAAGTCTACTCATGTTCTACTTGTTGAACTGAGGAGTAAGCAAATTCCAGGCAGGTTTAAACCAGGCTTCTGTAACATCACAGAATTGGAGGATGAAAGAACAGAGTAGGTCTGCCTTGTCTGAGTCTTCAATTCAGTGTGGACCCTTGAGGCCAGGGATTGATCAGCTTGCAATCCTCCTCCCTCCACAGCTGACTCAAAGAGAAGGACTGGGCTTCTGGCAGAGAAGTCTCTCTTTGTGCCAGAGATGGCTCCTGGCTTTAGCAGAATTAAGGGTTAGTGGTATGGGAAGTACCTGCTTGTAGGGCAGGAACTATTTCCTTCCTGTTACTGGAAAAGGAAGGCTGGGTTGTAGTTCGGTTCTTACAGAGTACTTACCTAGCATGCAGGAGGCTCAGGGCTGTGCATGCCGAACTCAGGAGGTGGAGGCAGGAGCTCAAGGTCATCCCTGACTACATTGGGACTTCAGCATAAAGCTGGGTGGTGAGCACATGCCCATAATCCACGTATTTGGGAGGTGGAGGCACAACCTCACGATCGTCTTCAGATACACAGGGTTCTGAAGTGTATGTCTTCTTTATGACTGTATAATCCCCACTCAAACCCTTCACGGCCTCACTGGGAGGAAAGGTGTTGGTCTAAAAGGAGCCTCCAGAATTCAAGCAATGAATGTAACTTAGCTGGGGGGGGGGGTTCAGTTCTCATCCACAGCCCCCCCCCCCCCACACACACACACACATACTTTTAAAGCCTTAATGTTTTGCACCTTCAGATGCTGGCGTCTCAGAACTTCCCAACCCCCAGGATGAGCCTTCATGATGATTTACCCAATTTGAATAATTTAGGGCCCAGCACCCTCAGGTGTCAGCTTCAGCTGCTCCGTTCCCATGGGCACCAGTGTGCCAGCCCTGCTACTGAACCAAGAAAACAGCCAGTGGAAGAGGGGCTGCTGTCCTGTGCCTCAGACCCCCAGTGCTGATAGACTTCCTGTCCATTCTTCTGAAAGCAACAAGCTATCTCAGAGCCCAGGTACAGGGGACGAATTTTGACGGGGGGGGGGGGGGGGGGGGGGGGGGGGGGGGGGGGGGGGGGGGGGGGGGGGGGGGGGGGGGGGGGGGGGGGGGGGGGGCAGGTGCTGTAAGAGGAGAAGCAAGGAGAACGAAAAGAAACGAGAATTGAGAGCAGAGACAAAGACTGTTACGGAGGAAGAAAGCAAATTGAGACAGAGAGGTAAAAAAGGGCACTGGTCATACAGAAAAGGGAGACGCTGAAGCGGGAGGAACAGCAAATGCCAGGGGCTAGGTGGCACTGAGGGCGGGGGTAAACTGGAGGCGGGGAGGAAGACCTCAAGCTGGTTTCCAGGTACTGTTTACATCGTCCCGCCAGCTGGGCCCGCTGGCCTGCGTCTGTCCTGAAGACTTGCCCGCCCTCTGGCTGTGGTGGGGCCATGGGGACCAGGAGCCACCACCTCGGCCTGAGGGTCCTGCTCCTGCTCCTTCTGCCTGCAGGTAATGAACCAAGCCTCTCTGACACTGCTGCTCTTCCTGCCCACCCAAACCTCCGCCTGTCTCCACTTAGGCTGCAGTGCCTGCTGAGAACAAGCTACCTGGGGCATGGGAGGAGAAAGAAAGGAGACTTGCCTGCCAGGGCGGGGGCTAGGGAGGCAGGGACCATGCAAAAAGCCAGGTGTGGCCACAGATAGCCATAACCCCAGTGCTGTAGGGACCTGAGCCAGGAGGCTGCTGGGCTTGCTCGCCAGCCTAGCTGAAAAATGGCTAGCTGCAAGTTCAGTGAAGGACGGTCTCCAGAGAGCAAGTCAGAAAGTGACAGAGCCAGCCAGCTAACGCCCTCCTCTGGCTTCTATGCATATCTGAGCACACATAAGCAAACAGAACATACACCATCAGAAAGAAGTGTGTGAGATCATGGTAGAGGGGACGAGGCTCCAGCTGAGGAGTTGAAGGATGTGAAGAGGGTCCCAAACTACAGTCAGATCCTTCCCGGTCCTCCAGAGTGCCTCGGAGCTGAGGGCAGACTGGCACACAAGCTGTTTCGTGACCTGTTCGCCAACTATACAAGTGCCCTGAGACCCGTGGCAGACACAGACCAGACTCTAAATGTGACCCTGGAGGTGACGTTGTCTCAGATCATTGATATGGTATGACATGGCAGTGGTACAGCTGTGGGGTGTGGATCAAGGGGAGAAGGGCCGTCTCGTTATCCTTTTCCGGTGTGTTAGTGAATGATGACAGTGGCCACTAACTTCAGTGTACCCGCCGGTGGCCCAAGACTTTACACACTGGAAGGCACTGACTCTCCACCCAAGCCGGAATTATCTGAGGGATTAACTGATGAAATGGAGACTGGAGAACCCACCAAGGGCCCATGAGTTCAAGCCAGGATGGGGACCTGGGCTGTCTGAGCACGCTGGCCGTGTGGGGGCTGCGCAGAGGCCCGTGCATGAGTGTGCACGAAAGGGCCCGTGCACACACACGCGTCTGCCCCTGCCAGGACGAGCGGAACCAGGTGCTCACCCTGTACCTGTGGGTCCGGCAGGAGTGGACAGACGCCTACCTGCGCTGGGACCCCGGAGCCTACGGCGACTTGGACGCGATCCGCATTCCCAGCGGCCTAGTGTGGCGGCCAGACATCGTACTCTACAACAAGTACTGCCGCTGCCCCTTCTCCTTAGAGTCCATCTGCCCTCGACACGCACCGGGTCCTCTCCCAACACCTAGCAGAGTTGCTGGGACACCCGGGAAACTTACCCCCGGGCCCCTCCACGTCACTTTCCGTTATCGCACTGACTGACCACACACACACGCTGGGTGTCTGCAGGGAATGCGCTCTGTCGCCCAAGCCAGTTGCAGCTCTCCAAGAGAACTGTCTTGGATCCAAGTGTTGCCCTGTGGTAACGCCACCCTTCCGTGCCCAGGGGCCGCTGGCTAGCTCTCCGGCCTCCAGCCTGGCCCTTGGTACTTTATGCCACCCCACCGTTAGGTACTTTGCCTCTCCCGGCCAACTCGCAGCACTGAGCATCTTCCGGGTCCCTCGAGGCGTTCCACAGATGCCTCCTTAGGTCAGCGTGAGGCTCAGGTCCACCCCCGGGGTCACACAGGCCTTCTACGCTCTGCTCCTGGCCTCCTCTAGACCTCCAGAGGCCCAAGTGAGACTAAGGGGGTTGGCGCCGCCGCGCTGCCCCGCCCACTAGAGCTCTCGCCCTGCCTGTCCACAGGGCCGACACGCAGCCACCTGCCTCGGCCAGCACCAACGTGGTCGTGCGGCACGACGGCGCCGTGCGCTGGGACGCACCGGCCATCACGCGCAGCTCGTGCCGCGTGGACGTGTCGGCCTTCCCGTTCGACGCGCAGCGCTGCGGCCTGACCTTCGGCTCCTGGACGCACGGCGGGCACCAGCTGGACGTACGCCCTCGGGGCACCTCCGCCGGCCTGGCCGACTTCGTGGAGAACGTTGAGTGGCGCGTGCTGGGCATGCCGGCGCGCAGGCGCGTGCTCACCTACGGCTGCTGCTCCGAGCCCTACCCGGACGTCACCTTCACGCTGCTGCTGCGCCGCCGCGCCGCCGCCTACGTGTGCAACCTGCTGCTGCCCTGCGTCTTCATCTCGCTGCTGGCTCCGCTGGCCTTCCACCTGCCGGCCGACTCCGGGGAGAAGGTGTCCCTGGGCGTCACCGTGCTCCTGGCGCTCACCGTCTTCCAGCTGATCCTGGCGGAGAGCATGCCGCCCGCGGAGAGCGTGCCGCTCATCGGTGAGCCGGAGAGAGCGGGAGGGCGGACTCTGGGTGGGTGTGTGTGTGTGTGTGTGTGTGTGTGTGTGTGTGTCTGTGTGTGTGTGTGTCTGTGTGTGTGTGTGTCTGTGTGTCTGTCTCTGTCTGTGTCTGTGTGTCTGTGTGTCTGTGTGTGATAGAGGGAGCCCCTCACCGCCAGGCGCTCGAGAAAACTGCAGTGAATGAGAGCTGTGTGCCAGGCATTCTCCTGTGCGCTTGGCTTTTGTTCGCTCGGAGGAGCTACGCTGTGAACCAATGAATAGGTTAGTCCAGAGGTACGGGAACGACCAGTATCTGTCCAGATTACAGCTCAAGTCTGATCCTGAGCCGGGAAGATAGTGAGGTAGCAGACAACTTCACAGCCCTAATAGGAATGAGAAGTTGGGGAGGACTCAGCTCTTACCTGCCCTTCCCCTGGCTGGGTCTGGTGCTGACGTTCTGTTTATGATGCGGCGGCTAGGAAGCCCAACAGTGTCCATGTCCTATCGGGGCTCACAGTGCGCTCTCGTCCCACAGGAAAGTACTACATGGCCACTATGACCATGGTCACATTCTCCACAGCACTCACCATACTCATCATGAATCTGCACTACTGTGGCCCCAGCGCACACCCAGTGCCTGCCTGGGCTCGGGTGCTCCTGTTGGGACACTTAGCCAAAGGCTTGTGTGTGCGGGAGCGAGGGGAACCCTGTGGGCAGTCCAGGCCACCAGAATCAGCCCACAGCCTCCAGCCTCCAACTGGTCCCCCAGTGGGCCCTTGTCACGAGCCACAGTGTCTATGCCACCAGGAAGCCCTTCTGCATCACGTAGCTTCCATTGCCAGCACCTTCCGCAGCCACCGGGCTGCCCAGCGCCGCCATGAAGACTGGAAGCGCCTGGCTCGAGTGATGGACCGCTTTTTCCTGGGCATCTTCTTCTGCATGGCTCTGGTCATGAGCCTCCTCGTACTGGTGCAAGCCCTGTGAAGGCCAGGAAAGGGATCTCAGCTGTGCTTACCTCACCACCACCCGGCAGGTGGTTGTCGGTATTCAGATAGGCTAGCTAGTCTCTTCGCAAAGGGCTGCTCTGAGTCAGAGACACCCCGTTAGGGCCCGGGCTTCTGACCTCACAAGCCACAAACAGCCTTCGTGATCTACATGCCCTAACCTAGGGGGACCTAAACCCTGCTAATTCTCCCCTAATTCCAATCGTTAAAAGGTCAAAGTACAGACCTGGAGAGTAAGGCTCAGGGTCGCTGAGCAAGGTAGAGTACTCCTGTAACTCCAGCACATGAGGGCTGCGATAGGAGAATTACCATAAACACAGGACAGCCTGAGCTACAGAAAAATGTTGTCTAAAATAAATAAATAAACAAATTACCACCCCAGTGTCTACACTTGGAATTACAGCTGTTAGCTGGGGAAATCCAGGTTATTTTTCTTTTGTTGAGACAGAGTATCACTCCACAGCCCTTGCTGGCCTGGAAGCTGCTAGGTAACTCAGGCTGGCCTTGAACTTACAGAGAGGTAACGCCACGCCAGGCCAGCATGTAGGTTACTAAGGAAACAAAGCTGTACATGTTCTTGCCATCCTTAGGAGTTGCTGTTACAGAGAGTCACCTTGCTTGTCCCTGCTGAGGCTCTAGTCTCCAGAACAGAAGGTTGTGCAGACATCTGTCCCGGAGCTTCAATCCATAATAAATGAGCCTGCCCAGCACCTGCTCCTTCCATCCATAATAACTGAGTGCCCAGCACCTTTTCTGTGCCCTGGCTTCCTGGGGCCTGCAACCAGAAGTTGGGGATTCAGGCTTGTCTTTATAGATAGGAATCTCAGGACTCACAGAGTTCTTTAAAAGTCACGTTTATTAGCCAGGTGGTGGCAGTGGCAGCAGCACATGCCTTTAATCCCAGCATTTGGGAGGCAGATGCAGGAGGATCTCTGTGAGTCTGAGGCCAGCATGGGCTACAGAGCAAGTTCTAGGATAGCCAGGGCTACACAGAGAAACCCTGTCTTAAAAAAACAAACAAAAACCACATTTATTTACTTATTTATTATTTATCTGTGTGTGTGTGTGTGCACGTGGACAGGTGCGTGCGTGCACACCTGGGTAAATTTGTGGACGTTAGAGAATAATGTGGGTAGTGGCTCTTTCCCTCTGCCATCTGGGGCCCAGGGATGAAACTCAGGTTATGAGTGGCAAGTACCCTTATTGCTGAGCCATCTCGCCAGCTCAGAAATTACATTTTTGGTAACAACAATGGCAAATAGATAGATTGATTAAATGACTGGGGTTTCACAGGAACCTTGAGGGAAGGCATAAACTTTTCCGTTATTTCCCCCGCTGTCCACCCTTACAGCTAGACACAGCCACCCTGTTCTCGCATGCTGACATTTAGAGGGCTCTGCCGTGTTTCGGGAAGAGCTGGTGCAGGAACCACCACACACGGGCATTGGCTGCTTTCTTGCTGTCACAGCTCCTGGCACTTTCTTTGTGCCTTCCTCCCAGTCCTTACCCATAAGAAACTCAGTCTGACCAGGGAAAACTCAGGGACCAATAGAAACAGAGAGGCAGGCACTATAACCTAGCCAGGTGGCAGAGATGAGGAAGGGCTTCTAGAGGGGTGAACAAGGCTTTCTGGGTAGACATGGGGGGCATTTAAGTGATCCCAGCATGTCCCATAGCTGAGTGCGCTCTGCATTATCACCCACAAGGAACTGAAATCTGGCTCCAAGTGAGTCTGCCTGTCCTAGGGTCCTCTGACCTCCAGTGAGTCCCATTCCTACAGCCCTGGGTGAGGTTGGATCTCCAAATTCTCTCCTATGTTTCCATCAACAGGTCTGGCAATTGCCAGGGAGGGCCCCAGAGTTCCCTGCAGTTACACTGGTTTCCCCAGGATCATGCTATGCTTGAGGCGCACAGGTGACCAACATCTTTCAGGAAGGCCCCGGTCAACATCTGATAGGTCACGGGAGACCTGGATTCTCTGGAAGGGCCCTCAGACAAGGAACAAGAGCAGCAGCAGCAGGAGAGAACAGGAGGCAGAGAGGGAGCCCGGGGCTATGGGAGAAAACGAGGGATTTAGGAGCAGTGTGAGGTCATGAAGATGAAAGACAGAGAAACCGGCAGAGAGGGCTGGAAGGACCAAAACCCACAGTGCAATGAGAGCGATGAGAGAGAGACAGCTCTCATGCAGTGGCCACTCGGCTCTGTCCGTCTGCTGTCTGCTGACACTGCGGAGCCACCATCCTGCAGTGTGGACGAGCCTCGAGGGCAGAGGTCTGAGAGAGAGAGGGTGAGGCTGAACCTGGCAGCTCTATCCATGCCTGGTTGGAGTCGTGATGTCCCAGTGGGAGTGTGGAGGCAAAAATTCTAAATTTTCCCAATGTCTCAAATTACGCACCATCTGAATGTAGAGGCCCAAGCAGGATACAGCAATTTGCTTGCCCAGCATCCCAGCACTAAGGAGGCTAAAGCAAGAGAATGCCCATTTGAGGCCAGCCTGAACCGCATATGAGTTCCAGGACAACCCGGGCTACAGAGCAAATTCCCTAGTCTCAAAAACAGAACAAAAGGTCCGGTTTAAAGTTGGAGAACCAGCTTCTTAGTCACTCTGCAACCCTGGCCGAGTCACTTTGTCTCTACTCTCACTGTACTACATGAGGACAGTGTTCTAGGTTTTCCTGTAGAGGGCTGTGGGCAGAGGGTAGGAACTGTTGGGCAGTTCAAGGTTCAGCTCTGCAGCCAGGCTATGGACGTGATTCCTCAGTAGCTGTGTGGTGAAGGACACAGCTTCTGTAAAAGTGGCTAACGGGGGCAAGATGGCGCACACCTTTAATCCCAGCACTCGGGAGGCAGAGGCAGGTGCATCTCTACGAGCTCAAGGCCAGCCTGATCTACAGCCAAGGCTACACAGAGAAACCCTGTATTGAAAAGCCAAAACCAAAACTGAGAGAGAAAAAAAAAGAAAGAAAAAAGAAAGAAAGAAAGAAAGAAAGAAAGAAAGAAAGAAAGAAAGAAAGAAAGAAAGAAAGAAAAACAAGATAATCTAGTGAGGGCCTCAGGACAGCCTGCTCAAATGTCTTCATCTCTTACCTGAGCTATCCAGCCAGCAGGGCCCATACTTGCACCTCTTTTCTGAAAGAAAGAATGAAGAATCAATGCTTCAGCAGCTGATTGGAAAGGACCTCAGAGCTCTGATGATCAAATGTTCATTTTCTGTAATTCTGCTGCCTTAGGAAGGACCTCCCAGACCACCTTCACTTAACCTGAGCCCTGAGGACAGAAGAGAGATAGTCACAGGAGCCAGGATCTCTCTCTCTCTGGCTCCACACTCCCAGCTCCCTTTCCTATGAGCTGTCCCAGACAGAAGGGGTTGGTTTGTGTTCTTGGCCCTGCTTTCTTCATGGCTCATGATGCTGTTCAAGGTGGGAACTGAGCCACATTGGACGGCCTCCCATTTCAGCCACGGTAACTGTGGCCTCTCAGCAATAAAAGTTAGGCCTCACGTAGCCAGGAGCAGAAGGCCACAGCCCACAGGCCACAGGCCACAGCCCACAGACCTTCTCTATTCCTTCTCTGTTGTGGAACAGGCCAGGGGATGGAGGAGGAACAGCCAACATGCTCCCGACCACAAGCTGGCACGGCTGAACTGGAACTTTGAGGCACATCACACACCTGCTTTCTCCCTGCCCCGCACAGGCTGGTGCACGTTAATCTCCGTTCTGTCTGGTAAAACTGCACCTCTCCAAAGCTGGGGTCGGGAGTTTTAATCAACTCCTTTTCTTAAACCTTATTCTATTAGCATGTGTGAGATAGGGGATCAGGTGTTTCCCAGGGTTATGTGGAGTCGGTTCTCTCCTTCCACCTTTATAGGGACTCTGGGGACTGAGGAATTGTGGCAAAGCTCTGTTACCAGAGGAGCCACCCTGACGTTCCCTTTCTACTTAGTTTTGCCAACAAATGACCTTGGTGTCAGTGCTACGGTGGCTAGAAACTAATTCCTTTCCAGCTTCCAGCCGGGGCAGCAGCCTGACCCACGTGTGCCTGTCCTTTCAAAGGCCCTGGCCTACCTCCTCCTGTATATGCAGGGCGTTCCCCACCCCACGACTCCGTTGCCTTATTGCCTGGGATTCAAGTGTGCCCTCAGCAGGGATTCGAGGGGCCTGCCACCCCTCGCTGCTTTCACCACTCACGCTGGAACCCTTTGGCTGGGAATGGGATGGGGCTTGGATTTGTCGAAGCTCCTGGCGGACACCAGAAGACCATCTTCGTAGGGCTGGCCTGGCTTGCTCCTCACCTTTGATGTACTCGCAGTTGTAGGTGCTGCGTTTGCCCAGAGCTCGCAGGTAGATGCGTGCGGGACCCTGGGCAGGTCGGCTGGCATTGACCACCTGGAAAGTCTCAAAAGGAGGGATCAGCACCTCTTCCTCTTCTGGGAAAAAGGAGTATCCCCTGATGGGGACCCCGAGGCAGGTCCAGATGCCAAAGAAGGTGTCCTTGCCAAACTGCTGGGCGGCAACATTCTTGAGGGACGCAGAAGCAAAGCCCCCCAGCCTAACGGTGGTGCCAGGCCCTGCTGGCCGGAAGCGCAGGCCGTGCACCCCCCTGTACACCTGCCGGCACCCGCGGGACCCGTGGCTCCCAAGCAGGTCCAGGGCCTCGGTGAGCAGGAAGTGGAGGGTCTTGAAGGAGAAGTGGTGGAGGTAGTGGGCCCGGGAGCGGCCTGCCTCACGCACTGCGGCATTGAACTCCTTGTGCAGAGGGCTGTTGGCCGTGTAGGCCAGGAGCGCCACTCCGTGCTCATCCCGGAAGCCCGGGGGTGGTGGGGGCAAGGGGGTTGGGCTGAGGCCCCACGATGACCCCCAGGCCCTGCGCTCCTGCCATTGGCTGTTGGCCAGAGCCCAACCATCCGCGTATACTTTGTTGGCCTGGAACTCTGAGTGGTTGAGATCTGGCAGAGCCGCTGTCATGTCTGCTGCACAGCCAGCATACTGGTCATCAAAGGACGCTGCGGCCATGTCCAGGGGTGCTTCTTGAGAAAAGATGTCTAGTTGTGTGATAGAGTAGCTTTGCACCTGAGAATAGGGGAGCATGGAGAACTGAGAGGGCGGTCCCTAGGACAATGGGAACTGGGTCATCCAGAGTCCCCCTGCTCTGAGACAGGGCCTGTCTGCTCAGAAAGGCAAGAAGGACCGCAAACATATCTGGAGGGAGAGGGGACTGGGAACTAGCAGCCGCAGGCTCCCCAAGGTGAGGGTTTCAGGAGTCACCTAGGAGGGACAGATGGGTCCCCAGGGAAGCGCTGGACATTCTTCCCTCCGCTCAGTGTCCTGCTAGGCTGGTGGTGGAGGATAACCATACCTGAAGCCCATCACGGAGGCCCACAGACACCAATAGGAGAGACATCATGGCAGGAATCTTCATGTTGGAGGTGACCCTGGGGCAAGCTGCAGTCTCTTTTCCCTCATCTGGAAAATTGGGGTGTTAATATCTACCCTTCAGGAACCCTGGGGGTGGCTCTGAGGAGGCCCGGCCCTGGTGGTCACACTGCAACCACACTGTCCACATTTGGTTGGTTTTGTTTTAAACGGGGTTTTACATAGCCGTGCTGACCCGGAACTTGCTACTGGGCCAGAGATGACCTTTAGCCTTTGGCCTTCCTGCGTCCACCTCCTAAATGGAGGCATGATGGATATGGACCACCCGCTCATTTACTACAGAGTAAGACAGACACATTTTGCAGTACAAAGTAATGATGTTGTAGGAAGATGGGTGTGGCACGGTCACCCCATTCCAGCCTCACACGCTCCTGCCCTCAGGGAGAAATGGCCAGTGATAATGGTGCCTTTCTCAGAAAATATTTGAACAGTATAATTGTTTTCCTCCCCGCACCCCGAAGTGCTGGAGGTCAAACCCAGAGCCTGGTGTATGCTGGACAAGCACTCTACCATTGAGCTCTGAATAATATATTACATACAACACACACACACACACACACACACACACACACACACACACACACACA